CCTGCCTTATCTGAGCCACCAGCCCAGCCCCACCTCACCCACCACCCTCTCCTCTCCACAGCTCCCCGGGATGTGGGTGATAAGACCCGCCCACTGGGCCTTCCGAGTTTGTGCCCACCCATCCTGGCGGGCTCTTCTTCCAGGCAGAAACTGATCCAGACCGTGGCTCCCCTGGGCTTTTAGAAATGAAACCTCCGCAGGCAGAATGGCAGCTTCGGGGTAGGGAGCCCCTGGTCTAGCTGTGCTCCTGTCTCCAGCCAACCACTACCTGCTTGGTGCCAGCCCCTGTACTCGGGACTTTCATACATCCTTTCTAAACCTCACACAAAACAACGTTCTCCTCATTTAGAGATGAACAAAAATGAGGCTGAAAGGTGAACTTGCCGAAGGCCACCCAAATAGAAGCCAAGCCAGAATTCCTACCAGGGCCTGCCTGAGGCCAAAGCCAAGTGCTCTTTTCAATGAGTACCAGAGATCCCACTTCAATCAAAATGTGGGACTTGGGGGTCCCACGTGCTAACCTTAGACAGTGGAGCCACCCAGAGTCCTGCTCACTGATGGCATCTGTAGAAGAGCAGCTGGGAGTCTGGGGGCCTCTGGCTCTGGGCCACACAGGCAGCAGAGTCCAGCCAGGCTGGAGGCCAGCCGGTGCAGACAGTAAACGAATGATGAAATGAGGCAAGTCATCCAAGCGGGCTGGCATCTGGTGGGCAGGGAACTTTGCCCCGCTTCGCCTTCTCCTGTTTTGTTCACAGTGACTGCCTGGCCCTCTCTCCCTTTCTTCCTCCCGTCTTTCTGCTTTCTCTTCTGGTCCCTTTTCTTTGCTTTCTTCATCTTTTCTCCCTCCCTCCCTCTTTCCCTTTCACCCTCTCCCCCACCCGGCCCCACCCCCGCAGTTACTGTGGCAACAATTCAATGCCAGAAATAAAGGCAGGATCCAGCTAGGTCACCAGTTCCCAAAACAGCATCCCGGGCGGGGAGGGGCAGGGAGGGTGGAGCAGTGCAGCACGGCAGGGCAGGGGCCAGGCGCTCCCATGGGTGCTGTGCATGCGTGTGATGTGGGTGGGGCAGGGCACCTTGCTCCCCCCTCCCCCCACTGGAAAAGGACACCAGGAGGCTGAGGCCTGCTCTGGGCCAGTGGCTCTTCAGAGGTGTCCCTTACTTAGGCCAAGCCTGAACTCCGAGTCTGTCCTAAGGTTGGCAGAGCCTGGGGACTCCCTCCTCTTCTCCCAGTTTCTCCCTCTCCCCTACTCCAATGTTTTTTACCCTTGTGTCTGCTGCGATGAAGGTTCCCCTAACCCAGCACTACAGGGCACCCTCTCACACTCGGATAAAGGACCAGGCCTGGGTGGGTGGGGAGCCCAGAGTCCCCCTGCTCAAGGCCTGCCCTCCCCTGTTCTCTTGATAACAACAAAACTGGGCCCAGATGCCCCCTCCTACCTCTCTGGCCCACCCAGAGACGCATCTGTGCAGCCATCTTCTCCTAGGTCTCTCTCTGGCTTGGTTTCTATGTTCCCTCTCCACTCTCCCTCTGAAGAGACCCCGCTTTCTGCTTTCTGCATCCTGCAGCCCCTCAGGCTGACTGCTCCCCCTCCATTTATAGCTGGTCCTGTTGTACAAGCGGGACTGGCAGAGCTGGGGGAGATGCAGCCTCAATTCAGCTTTCTGGATCCTGGGGCCTCCCTGTTCCAGTCCCCACAACACCCAGGAGCTCTAGAAGAGGGATTCTGCACACATCCACCCACGGGTGGACAACTTCATCCAGGAGTCTGACATCTGACCACGGAGAGGCCGGCAGCACCACACAAGATGGACAGGTGGGCACAGGCAGAAGCACCTGCGCTGAAACTGTTGCGGGACTCATGCACGTGGGGAGACTCCAAAGCCCTGTGTGCCAGCTCACGCCCCCACTCTCCCATCAAGGCCCCCTCACAGTGACACATGGTGCTGCCAACACCCGCTCGCACCCACCCACTGGTCCTGTCCCTGGCATCCATCCCAGAGTTGTGCACGTGTACAGCAACACACACAGAGCCCTCCACTTACCCAGCTCCGGAGGCCTTCCCTGGGCTCCCCATTCCCAGAGCCCAACTGCCTTCCTTGTCTTGGACCTGTCCCTGCTCCCCTGACTCTCACAACCAGGCAACCGGTCCCTGGAAGGGACACACTGGGTGTGTCTGCCCAAGATAGGGAGCTGGGCCTGCTGGGCCCTGAGGGACAGAGCTAGGGAGGGGAGCCCCGGAACCCTGTGGGGGCTGCATGTCTGCTCAGCCCTGGCCCCCTTCAAGCATCCCAGCGGCGGCCACAGGGGGAGAACTGGGCTTGGGCCTGCAGCTGTGCCCTGCCACAGCCTCACTCTTCACTCAGCCCCACCCCAGCCTGGCCAGTCACTGGCTGGGAGCAGGCTCTCCTCCCACTCCCCCTAAAAAGCAGGCTCCAAATAAACAGCCCCAGGCCCCTAAATGTACTGCTCCAACCCCCAGAGCATGTGGAGTGGTTGCGGGGAGGCCAGCAGGCCAGTATTCAGCAGACAGGGAATGCTCCCCTGCCCACCCCGTGCCCCCACAGTCCATCCCTTCCACTGCTGGCCTGCTCAGCTAGGTGGGCCGGGCAGAGATGCTAACGAAGAGGGGATTGGGCTGGGAGCAGTTCTCATCCTTGGGATGAGAACACCCCAGGCCCTCTTCCCCAAATCAGAAGAAGGTTCCATTAGATCAGGCCCAGCTAGTCCCAGGGGCCGGCCCATCCTCCCACTGGACAGGGACCACCGTGGACTCCCCCCAGATACCCTGCCGCCACCCAAAGCCTGGCTCACCAGCAAGCGCTGTGGCCCACAGTGCCCACAGAGGGGAGAAGAGGCGGAGACCCTGCCACCTACCTCTTCCCAGACAGTGTGGACCAGACGCTCTGAGGCCACAGAGGCCCGAGAGGCGTAGGCCAGATCCAAGGGCTGCCACTTCCCCCAGGAGCCTAGGTAATAGGCGTCTCTTCCAGGAACCCAGCCGCGCTTCCCCGGAGCACAAATAACAGGAAAAAAGCCGGCTTGGGGTGGGTGGGTGGGCGGGGTGGGAGCTGGCGAAGGAGGGGAGCTGGTCTCGGTTGAGCGGTCTGATCTCCCCTCTGGGTCCCCACCCCCCTTGCCCCCACCCTGCTTCTCTGCAAGCCACGACCGCCTGGATCCCCCGGTGCTGGGGAGTCCTTGTCTGGGGGCGGGCGGGCAGGCTGCCGGCTCCCCCACGCCCTCCCCGCGCCCTCCCCACCTCCAGCTGATAGCGTGTGGCTGGCGAGGGTGTGTGTGTGTGGATGTGCGCGCTCTTCCACCAACGCTGCAGCTCAATCCATTTCAAACAAGAGGAGCATTAACCTAGCGTCATGACGAAGCAGAATCAGCCAGCACTGTCCTCTCCCTTTCCCACACCCCAGTCTGCAGCACTCACACTCACACACACCTACATGCACCCAGAGTCCCTCAGCCTCCTCCTAAACAGCCAGAGTTCAAGTTGCTATGGGCAGTGGGTAGGGGGAGGGGGCTACTGATGACCCAGGGGGACAATGCCTGGTTTCTCCAGGCACCTGCACCTCCTACCCTATTTATGACCACCCCACCATCTGACAGCAGCAACTGAGGCTTCTGGGGCCCAGCCTCTCGAGGTGGGGGTGCAGGCACAGGCCAGAATTGGTTACCCAAGGATGAGCTCTCTCCTGGGAGGGCAGAATGGAGGGATGCAACCAGGTTCTCAGTACTGAGATGTGGGCTGGCCCCTTGGTAACCTGAATCCCCTGGGAACTCCAATGGGATGCGGCAGAGAGAGAGAAGGACCCCATCTCTCCCTAGGGCGGCTTCATGAAAAATGAGCTTCCTGCCCGGTAACCCCCGGGTCCGGCACAGAATTTACAGGCACGTGCCTTCCCTGTCTCTAGCAAAGCCTCAACCATCCCAGGAGCCTGTCATTGGCCTTTCGGGCCCCCTGGGCAGGACAGGGAAGGGCAACAAGCCTTGCCCTTGACCCTCGCCCTGGCCCCAGCGTCCTCTCCACCTCCACACCGCAGACTTGCCTACCTAGGCAGCCCTCACCGTTGCCCTGGCAACCCTGCCCACAGCCGGTCAGCTGATGGTATCAGCTGTTGTTGGGGAAATCTAGAATCTGGGGAGGGGGCTCTGGGGTGTCTGAATGGAGAAGCACAGAGGGAGGGGCTTGAGGGAAGAGGCCAGGAGGGGACAGAATGTATCTGGCTGGTGGGGACAGAGAGGACAGTAACCTGAGGGATGGGCTCCAGAGAGAAGGGAGGAAGGAGGGAGGCAGGTGGCTGAGAAGGAAGACAGAACACAGGCTGAGCTGCTGCAGCCGGGTGGGGGTGGCTGTGAAGGTATAGAGAAAACCTGGGGGTGGGGGATGAAGCACGGGATCCGTGGAACTGTGGAGAAAAAGGCCAGGAGAGTGGGAGGGGGCATACCTTTAATGTGGCAGGAAGGGGCACAGCCTTGGAGGAGGAGCCACCCCGGCCATTGCTCCACAACCAACCCGGCCTCAACCCAGCCTCTCGGCTTTCTGTACCTTCAACCCCACCCTTACTTCCCTGTAATCAGGGGCTGAGAGTCAGAGGGGAAGCCCCAGCCCCACTCCAGCCCTAGATGATCTCTCGGTCCCTCCAGCTGACCAGGTACCGGGGGCTTTGACACCTCAGCCCTTTAGGATTCCTGATCCCTGCCGCACCCGACCTGGGTTCCTCCCCTGCCGCTGCCCCTCCCCCACCAGGCCCCACCCCAGGAGAGCTGTCTTCTGGTGCGAGGGTCCCCAGAGGTAGAGCTGAAGTGAGCTGATGCCAGGAAGGACACTGTGGCCAGGGGCCTGGAACGAGGTGGGTGATGAGGAATGTGTAGGACCGCTGGGCCTGGGAGGAGGGGTGCCTCCTCCTATCGAAACCAGCACATGTAGGGCCGAGTCGGGGGAGTCAAGGGGAAAGGGCGGAGGGGAAAAGGAGGGGAGGGTGCTCGGTACCTTCAAGGGCCCAGGGCGTGGGGCAGGAGCGCAGCAGCCTCCTCGGTGACATACACCTCCATCCCTCCGCGCATCTCCTCTCCGCCTCCCGTTGCCAAGACAACCTGCCGGCAGCTCAGGCCCGGCTCAGCTGCGGCGGCAGGGAGGGGGGAGGAGGAAGCTGTGGCTCCCGCTGCCTCTTCCTCAGAGATGGAGGGAGGGGGCCTGAGGGTGTGTCCTCAGTGCTGGCACTGGGGGTTAGGGGACAGCTTCAGGAGCTAGGGTGCCCAGTGAACCCCACCAAGTGCCCCATCCCCCCACTTCCCTTCATAAGGCTCTAGAATTGGCTCTAGGGGTGACCTCAGGAGAACCCTAATTCAGGGCCAGAGAGCAGGCCAGTCTTGAAGAGTGTGCAGCACTGGGGAGAGTCCCCACTCCAGGAAGCCCAGTGTGGAGCTCAGGACGGTGACAGACAGCAAGGCAGGGACAGTCCTTGTGCTGAAGGGCCAGAGGGGTTGCTCCAGCAGGGTGCAGAGGCCCCTGGGCGCTGGCTGCACTGGGCACTTGGCTGCGGGCCCCACACCTCTGCCGTCTCTACGTGAGCACCTTCACCTGGTCCCAAACCCTCTCTCATTCCACTGAGAAAAGTCAGGGCACGGGACAGCTCTCTTCCAATCCCTCAAGGCCCCATTCCCACTGTCCCCCACCACGCCCGAGTCTCACATTCTATTGGAATGTCTCTCCATGGGTGGGGCGGGTGGGCCACCTTGGGCAGGAAGAGTGATCAGCCCAGCCAGGCCTGGACCCAAGGGGATTGCAGAGTGAGAGCTCCCTCTGTCGACCTGAGGAGTGGTAACTGCCAAGGTCATTTTGCTGCCAGGGATTTGGGCACTGTGTGTGTGTGTGTGTGTGTGTGTGTGTGTGTGTGTGTATTGGTGCTGGGCCTTCAGAGGGGCGGCAAGGGGACCCTTCTCACCCATGCCGTCCTCTGCCCCTACCTCATCACTGTCCTTGTCCCATGGAAAGACTGACTCTGCCTCCAGCCTCCTCCCCCTGGGAAGGCCTCTGACCCCTCAAGGCCGACTGAACTGTACTCCCCCATGGCTTGTCTGAAAGGGGAGGTTCTCCCCTTGAAAGCCGGCAACACTGAACAACAGGTGCCTGTTGGCTCGGGCCCCAGGCGGGTGGGTTTCCTCAGCTCTGCTCCGCACCCCGCAGGCAGGCGGTGGCCGCCAGGGCTCTCGTACCTTTGGAAGTTCAGGAGTTCTCAAGACCTTGAGGATGGGCGCTTGTGTCCACAACACGGGGCCAGGGTTCCTGTGTCTCTCAGGCAGGGGGGTCCCAGGCCCCCTGACGCCCCATTCTTGGCTCCTTTCCCCACAAGGTCACTGGTGCCAGATGTCTTGGGCGGACTCCGGCCCTGCTGCCTCCTCCCTCCCCCAGGCCCTCTCGATAGGCTTCTCTGTCCACGTCTGGTCTGTCTCACTCCAGTGCCCCCTGGCCCCACCCCACACACCAACCTGCTGGGCGGGGGAGCTATGTAAATATTAACTTCTGGAGAGGCAGAGCCAGGGCACCTGGATACTCAGGGAGGAGGGAAAGGGTGACAGAGACCTGAAGAAAAAGAAGGATGAGGGCCCCAAAGTCACCATTCTCATCAGAGATGGGGAGCCATGTGCCCGTGCCTCCGGGCATTGGACTCGGCTGCCCGGACCCCAGAGCCTCCATCCTCCAGCATGCTGCCACCAGACCACTGCATTGGGCCCCCGCAAAGCCCCTCACCATCTCCTCCCCGCCACAGCATAAGGACCAAACTCTTCATCATTTGATCCAATCACTTCCTGCCACTTCTCTACACAAATTTCAGCTCCAGCCAGGTAGACAGACTGTTCCCCTTCCCCAGAGGACACCTCCCATTTCCCCGCCTTGATTCTCATGCCTGTTTTTCCTCTCATCATTTTCCGCTCTGTGCATATTTTCTGCACTGAAATCATGCAAACCCCAGGCCTTCCACAAAGCTCCCGCAAGCAGCCCGGCCTCTGCTCTCTCCTGCCCCAGAACCCACGATGCATGGGCAGGGGAGGGAGTGGAGAACCTTGCATGCAAAGTGTGGAAGCCAGGCAGAATCTAGAGTGCAGTGCTCACTAGCTGCGAGACCGTGAATGGCCTGGCATCTCTGAGTGTGAACTCATCCACATGTGCTACATGGGAACATCTCACCGCCCTAAAGAAGGAGTGCAAGCAAATGTGCCCTGAATGTGGCCTAGCACATCTCCTGAGCTCGGTACATATTAGTTTCCTTATTTCCAATAATTCTTGTCTCCGCTTTACGTCTTTGGGGACGTACGAAAAACAAACAAAAAAAGTTGCTTTGTTATGTCATGTGTAAAAGAAGGATTTCCAAAAGTCCCATCAAAGAACAAATAATTGCCTTTTTATGGGTTTATCCCTCCAATTAAATTTCAAGTGCCTTGAGAGCTCTATCTTGTCTCTCTTTTTTATTAACGGAAGGATTAGCACAGGGCTTGAATGTTGTGGCAGAAAAATAAACACTGGGACTAACTGCTTAAGCCCCGGCCCCACCCACGTCTGCCAAAGAAGGTGGGAGAAGGCAGGATTCCGGCCTCTCTCCTGCCTCCGCCTAGAGGGACGGTGGGGTGTTGGGATAATGACTTCTTTCTGGGGCTTCAGGTGGTGTATTTCCTCAATAAACATTTACCCTGTGAACATACTGTGCTGGGCAGTCAGGGAGGAAAAGATGGACTATTTCTACATCTGGGGCACTTGCTATTTAGCGGAATCATGACAAGTACATACATCATGACAGTTCTAGACTAGCTGTGACATGTACCATAAGGCAAGGGCAAGTGAATGGCTGGCAAGACCAGTGGTAGTGGAGACAGTTGCTCCTCCCCGGGTAGTGCCGAGAGCCTATGGAGCAGAGAAGGAGCCTGCGGTCTGGGGGGTGTGTGTGTGTGTGTGTGTGTGTGTGTGCGCGCGCGCTACAGCAGGACACGACAGGTGGCAGGAACCCTTTGAATGAGGATGGGGACATGCTTGCTTGATAGAGTTCCAGTTTTCCAGCATTCTTAAAGGGTAGTTGTGGGGCTAGGGCCGAACAGGGAGACTGGACAGGGCTGGATAGGAGTCTTAAAGATGACGCTAAGGAGTTTGGCCGGGATAGTGTGGGCTGGGTAGAGCTGTGGTTGTGGTAGAGAAGGTAAGTGGAGCAAACTCGGACGTACTGGAGTAGAGGGCGGTGTTGGGAGGCACAGAGATGATGTAGGGAGCGAGCAGAGATTTAGACAGATCCCAGTGAGGTCTGGCCACGGTGCAGAGCCCCAGAGTTTGGGAGGGAGCAGTCACGCGCAAGGAGGGCAAGGAGGCGGTGGCTGAGATGCTGAGGTTGCTCAGAGAGGCAGCTGACAGACGGAGAGCAGAGTGGGAGGGAATCTTGGGGAAGGGTCCTCTGTGAGGAGCTGGGAAAGAGAAGCCAGGCAGGCCAGCCAAGGGCAGGCCGAGGGGGGTGGGGTGTGGCTCGAGGAGAAACGGTTCTTTACCATGGCAAGCGCTTGACGCTGAAGACACTGAGGACTGAGGCAAGGCTTTCGGCTTGGTCCCTGGAAAGTCACTGTCTCAGCATCAGAGGGACAGGGTTGAATAGACTGATGTAAGTGGAACCAGTTTGTGTGGCCTAAAGAGTGAGTGATGTCTCCCTCTGACGACCTGCTTGGCTCCCCTCTGCCTCATCAGGCTGTTTGGAGGATGGGACGGAGAAAGGGGAGGTCAATTTGTGAGCCATTCTTAGTGAGAGTTCTTGGTAATCCCAAACTGGCGTGAGATTTGAGGCACTGGTGGCCGCTGCTGCTACCTCCATCCACCTGGTCACATACTCCCCGAAAGGGATTCATGTTTCCCCAACAGCAAGGGGCTATTAGCAATTAGCCCCCTGTGGCTACTTCATGCTCACACCTGCATAGACCCGGGCAGTCAGAGGCAAGCAGGGTTGCTGAAGCCAGGTGTGGTCTGAGGACCTGGGGGAAGTCTCCTTCCTCCCCACCGCCTAGATGTGCATGTTCAAAGAGTCCATTTGAAGTGCCATCATTAGGGATCTATTCTTTTGGCTTCTTCCTTTTAGCATCTTCGAAGTCACCACTAGTTCAGGGGGAATGAGCTGAACAGACTTCCAGAGCCTGAAGAGCCACCTGGGGCATGGCAGCGCCTGGACACTGGGCAGAGGCGCCGAGAGGTGTGGTGAGGAGAAGGCTCAGAGTCCAGCCAGGGACCCAGGGACCCAGCGCCCCAGGGCGAGAGCAGGCGCTGGACACCTCGGGGATGGGGTGGGATGAGGGCACTCCCTGGGACAGCACAGGCCTCCAGAGCGGCCCTCCCTCTCCGTTCTCTGTCCCTCCCTGCCAGGTCTCACCTCAAAAAGCAAGAAAGAAAACAGTGAAGGCTTTCTGGAGCCAGCCCCCAGAGGCCTGTCGGTACTGGGGAGGTCAAAGAGAGGGAGGGAGGGGCCGGAGAAAGGCCGAGAAGAAAGCAGAGGCAAGACAAAGGGCCCCGTCCACCTTTGAAGCCGTCTCTAACCCGAGCGAGGGAGGGGCGGGGGTGGGCCGGAGAGCCCGGCTAGCGGGGAGGCAGTCTAGTTTTAAAGAATGTCTCAAATTCCTGCGGAAATCAGAGGGATTGTAAGAGGCCCCCTCCCCAACACACCTCCTTCCCAGCCTCCTCCCCAGCCACCCCCCAAAGTCCAGTCCTCTACACCTGGGGGGCCCCCAACCCTTTGTCCTCAAGTAATTGCTGGGTGTTTCCCCCGTTAAGTCCCATTGAACTCGCCAGTTATCAGCTGTGGCTCCAGACCACCCTCCCAACACACATCCCAGAAAACTACCCCCAACACGGCGCGGTCTTCACTGGGATTAAGGCTCTTTGTGATGGGGGAGAGAAAAAAGTAACCTGGTGAAAAGCAATTATGACGAGCAGTAGGGAGAATGTCTGTCCCAGGGCCGGGGACCTCCCTCTTGGCTGCCGCTGTCCCCACCTTCTAAATTGCCCCGTGGTGGGGGTGTCAGACTCTGCGCCAGCCCTCGCCATCAACTAGGACTGTAGCTGCACCCACCTCCCATTTTCACTGGACCAGGGCCCTTCCCCACTTCCTCTTTCCTTATTTTTAGGCCATTCTAGGGAGCAGAGAGGAGAAGGGATGTTTTTCATCCTTCTCTCTCCATAATGCCCCTCCTCAAGGTACTCTCAGAAGGAAGAGGGAGGGGAGGGGGTACATCCTCATAAGAGAGGGCTCAGTGAGGGAACGGGAAACGAGGCTGGGGGTCATCCTCAGAAGAGAGGGCTCAGTGAGGGTAGGGGAAACTGAGGCTGGGGCCCCAACCCCAGAAGAGAGGGCTCGCTGACGGTGTTCCCCCTGAAGAGCTGACCTGTTGGGGTGGGGGGGGGGTGGTCCCTGCGAGGAAGGACCTCCCCCTCGACAAGATTAAAAGCCAACGCACTGAAGAGGCGGGTTTTATCGCCCCCGAGTTCCACTCCCCACACGCACACCTGGAGGCCCCTGGGAAAGCCCACCGGAGAAGCTGGGGTGGGGGCAGGGCCGCCCCTTCCTCCCCGCCCCTCTGTCCCCCTCCCCCCCAGGCCATCCGGGCCCGGCCGCAGCCTCTAATTGAGATTTGCCCTCAGGTGTGGCCCCCGCCCCGGCCCCGCGGGGACCCGGGAGGACAGGGGACGCCTTCTCGCCCCCTCCCCCTTCCGGCCGCCCAGCCCCACTCCCCGCCCCCGCCCTCCTCACCGGAAAAAAAGCAATTTCGCTGCCTGAGGAGGCTCCTGGCGTCCGCGGGCCGCCCGGGCCTCGCCGGGCTCCGCAGGGCCCTCGCCCGCGTCTCGGGCCTGGGGCCCGGCTGGATGCACGTCCCGGCCCCGGCCCCTCTCGGGGCTTGGGTTTTCTTCCCCAACAGGTAGCACGGGCCGCGCCGCGCGAGCCCAGGAAACCCGAGCCCGCGCCAGGGAGGGACCGCCCGCCTCCCGCGGGGCCGAGCCCGCCGCCTCCCGGGGGCCCCAGCGCTGCGGGCCGCGCCTGCACCTGCCGGAGCCACGCCCGGCCGGGGAAGGGCAGGCTCGTTTCCAGGGGTACTTGGTGGTCGGATCCCCCACCCCGCTTCAGATAACCTATTTGCAGGAAAATGGTTTTATTCCGGGGCTGGGAGTTGGGGGTGGGGTGCAGGCCTGGGTCGTGGAATGTGAGGAGTGGCCAACCCTCTATTTTCCTCTCTCTCTCTCTGTCCCTCTGTTTTCCTGAAACAAACAAACAAACAAAAGTCCCTTCCTACAGTCTGGCCAGGAGGAGTTTGGGGGCTGGGGGCAGACTGAGGGAGATCCGTGGAGCAGATTTTGAGGACAGCCACCTCCAGACAGTTGTCTGCAAGGCCTCCAGTCGCTGACCTTTCAGCGGGCTTCAGGAGCCCGGCTGGGAGGCCGGCAGAGGCTGGCAGCCTGAGATCAGGGTGACACTCAGTTCCTCTCCAGGGCCTGCCACCCGTCCGGGAAGGGGGTGCTGTACCAGCCGCCCCTGGGGCACTGGCCTGCCCCTTCCCAGCTAGGGGCTCGGATGTTTGGCGGCCCTCAGGGTCCTTCCTGGGGGATCTGGCTCCCCTCCAGCCACCCCAGCCCAGTCCTTGGATTAAGAAGGGAGGGGGGTGGGGAGGCGCCCAGGGGCTGCTGCCCCCTGCCTCCCAGACTACGTGAGGGGCTGGGGCCGCCGCGTGCGCTTGGTCCGGCGGGTGGGGGCGGAGCCCACAAACTCGAACTGCTTCTGCTTCTCGGCATGGTTAGGGAAGGGCAGCTGGCCCTGGTAGAGGCGCTTGATGAAGTGGGCCTCGCGCTGGTTCTGGCGGCTGCGGGAAGCCTGGCGGGGCCGCCCCTGCCTCGTGAAGGCCATGAACCAGCCCTCGTGCCGGGCGTTCTGGAAGGCCGTGTAGTTGTTCTCCAGCACGATCTCCGTGAACACGCAGTCTTTGCTCTTCCCGCTGGGCTGCGGGAGAAGCAAGGACAGGAAGGGCATTTGGCCACCTACCCTGGTCTGGGGTGTTGCCCTTAGGGCCTATGTTGGACGACTGAGGAGGGACAACCGGAACAACAGCGCCGTGAACCCAGGGAACTCTGCCTGGTGAGATGGCATCCTAGTTAGAGAGGCAACTGTGGCCAACGCGAACAGGCTTTGTGGATCTGAGTTGCAGGCTTGTCATTTAGCCGTCCTGTACTAGGCTGGGCCTCAGCTTTCTGAGATGCAGGTGAAGATCAAGGTCCTGCAGCAGTTCCCAGCATGCCCGGGCCCTTAGCACTGAAATGCTCATGGAGCCTAGGGGAGTGGTGCTGCTGAGCATGGGAGAGGAGGCAGCAGCCTCCAATGAGAAGAAAGAAGGGTGCCAGCGTGGCCACCCATCCCACCCTGTCAGCAGTCAGGGGTCTGTGCCCATTTCTACAGACAAGAAGCCTGAGACTTGACAAAGATAAGCAAACCAGAGGTCATTTGGTCAGCAACAGCCGAATGGGAAGATGGGATTGCCTGGTTTCAAACCAAGTGGAATTCTCCCACCCAGCAGGACTGGGCCCACTGTGCGCTTCAGTTACAGGAGCAGCTGCTTAGTGTCTGTCTTGCTAGCTGGAGCCCACTGGCGCCACTGAACTTGGGGGAGTTCCTGTCTTACATCTGTGCCCCACTTTCCACCCTCAACAGCCTTTAGTCCTCCACCCAGAGGCTGCAGTGTCAGGTAGATGCTAAACTCCTACTGATGCCTGCTGGAGAAATACTCCTGACATCAGCCCTGCAGATCCCAATGGCTTGCCAGTCCCCTCAGAGGGCTAATAGAGTCCCAGGGACTCATTTAAATAGAGAAACTAGACCAGGCTCAGTGGCTCATGCCCGTAATCCCAGCACTTTGGGAGGTTGAGGTGGGAGGATCGCTTCAGCCCATGAGTTTGAGACCAGCCAGGGCAACATAGTGAGGCCCTATCTCTACCAAAAAAAAAAAAAAAAAAAAAATTAGCTGGGCATGTGCCAGCTACTACTTCGGAGGCTGAGGCGAGAGGATTGCTTGAGCCCAGGAGTTTGAAGCTGCAGTGGGCTATGATTGTGCCACTGCACTCCAGCCTAGGTAGCAGAGCAAGACCCGGACTCTAAAATAAAATAAAGAAACCAGAGAGGGTGGGCGGGCTGAGAGTCGGATGGGAAGTCTTTACGCAGGAGGGTGTGGCTCAGAGGAGAGAGGGGAGCTTGATGCCTTATATGTCCCCACCCCAGTAGGGCTGACTCTCTGTTACTGTTTCCAGTCTCCCAGCCTCACCTTCCCGATGAGCTTGCCCCTCTTGTTCATACAGATGTACTTCTCGCTCTCAGCCCCTTTGATGCGAACTCGGCTGCCAAATGTGTCCGTCTCCACTATGAGCTTGGCTGTGGTGGGGAAGGGGAGAAAGACCTCCGTCCATCGGGGCTGCCAGCCTATGGCTACGGCAGGGGACCACCCAGCCACACTGACCTCCAGACTCAGGCGAAGGGGTTGGGGACGCTCAGGCCCTTGGGGCCCTCAGCCCTGACACAGGATCTGGGGATGGACCAGGAGGTGAGGCAGGGCGGAAGTGAGGCAGAGTGGAGGTGTGGGTGGCCTGGGGGGAGGGCCAGCTCTCACCAAACTTGTTGCCGTCCTCAGCAGTGGCGGAGATGCGACGCCCGGTGACCTGCACGTGCTTGCCACTGGTCCGGCTGTAGAGCTGGTACTCGCGGATCTGCCGCCTGCTCAGCTGGTCGGTCATGGCGCCCTGGTCCCTCACGTACTGGTTAAAATTAGGAGACGGGTGATTCTCCCCCTTTGCGGTTACCAAGGGAAAAATAGTGTCAATTTGCTTTGGGTGACACCACCACTGGTCCATCCAAGGGAGAGGGGTGAGGAGGTGAATGTATTGGGGACAGGCCAGTTGTCCTGCAGAGTGAAGTGGGCATGTGGCCATAACCTTCCCAGGCTCCTGGGTGAGCCGGTCATAACTTCTTGGCTTTGCGTCTACCTTACAGAAGGGACTGGGGTCTGCCCAGGCTGGGGGACACTTATTGACAGAACACAGCCCTGGAATCAGGATTCTGGGAGCTGGAAAGAGCCCTCGGGGTTCTATCCCATCCTCATATTCTATGAAGGAGGTGCACGGGGCACACAGCTCATTAGGGACAGAACCGCTGTCCCCGCCTCTTAGACCAGAGCCTGTCATCTCCCCCAGAACTCCAGGGACATGCTCCATTAGCCAGGACAACCAGATTCCTTCCTCATCCTCTCCACTGGCCTTGAAAGACCCTGTGCCCAGCACACAGGGGCACAGAGCAGATGGTGCTGCGAGTTAGGGTCACCAGAGAGCATGTGGGGGACTCTGAAAGCTCCTGCAGGGTCCCGTGAGCATTTCTTCGAAGCACTAACCGTGGAATCCTGAGCTCATACCCATCTTCTCCCTGGCCTCGCCCCCTGGTGCTCAGGGCCCTTCCAGCGTTCCTCCCTCCTCTATGGGCTGGAGCTGGGGCTGGGCACTATGGGAGAACAGGCAGGCAAAGTGCCTCCTTAGCAGAGGGAGGCAGAGGCAGCACCAAGAGGACAGGCACTATCAGCAGTGGCCCAGTGGCTGCCCTTGCCAGGCGGCTCCTTAGCCACAATGTAACAGAGGCTCCCGGCCAGTTGGTGGGATGCGCCCGCCCACCTGCTTCCCCTTTGGGTTGGGGGAGAGGAACCATTTCCCCCCACACACTGTGCAAAGCCAGGAGGAGTACCGCCTCCCAGCTAGGTCTCTCCTTAACCATCTGTAAGGCTAAGTGGGAGAGACTCAGAGTACTTCCTCCTCTCCATCCTGCAAGGTGCGACCCGGGCTAGGTTTCCTGGCTGCTGGCAGCAGCCTCAGCTCTGGCAGGAGAATGCACCTTTTCTGTTGCTTCTCTCTCTACCTGGATGCTGCTGCCTGTGCTGGGACAGCTTTTCCTATCCCCTGCCCCAAATCCCTAATTCCACCTTTATCCCAGGCCCAACCTCAGCCATCTGGACAGAGCTAGACCCAGATCAGCATCTGTTAGGGGCTACTCTCTCCTAGGGAGGGGGTGGGAAATATCACCTTTGAAGCAGGGGGAATGAGGGAGCAGCTCTCAGAGCTGGACGTTTAACCTGCGCAGGGTTCACACTTCCTGTGCACCATTGCTCATTTCCAATTGCAGCTCCCCATAGAGCAGCCTTTGCTCAGCCTCTGCAAGACCTGCCCCTTGCCCCACCCTGGAGCATTTGGGGTGGGGGACCTGCCCAGCCTGCCCCTCCCTGGCCTCCCTTCCAGGGGGTGGGGTCCTGCCTGTCCCAGTCCCGCCTCCTGGCCCAGGTTCAGGCCCTCCGCCCCTCTTGGCCGACGGCCTCCTCTGGCAGTCTGTTCCAGGTCAGGAGCAGAGAGCGCCCCCCCGAAGCCCCCTCCTTTCCTTGTCCCCTTCAAGCCTTTCACAAAGGCAGCCCCACGCCCCCCCACAGCCCACAACCCACAAGTCCCTCTCCCCGCGGGACCTAGCCTGTCCCTTTCATGTTCCCGCTGCGGGAGGACCTCCCCTTCCACCACTGCAGACAGCTGCTTGTCAGACAGCCCCTCAAGCATGGCTGTGGTCCGGCCTGCTGGCCCCCCCTCCCAGGGGGGTGAGGGGGCACTTCAAGGGGGAAAGGACCGCTTTGCCACCTTCCCTGAGTCCTGAATGGGGCCTCAGCCAGGCCATAAACGCCCGGCCAGCCGCACCATTGTGCTAGTTCCCCTCCAGAACAGGTTGGGCCCACCCCCAGCCCCCTCCCAGCCAGGCTGGGGGCTTTCTTCTGGCTCCCCCTGGATGTGTGAAGCAAAAGGCCTGGAACGGGGCTGGAGCAAAAGGGGGAAGGAAGGGGGGGGGAGTTGTCTCTCCCTCTCCCACCCCCCCACTGCTTCAAAGGCTGCCCCTTTCCCTCTCCCAGAGAAAAGGCATTTACCTTCAAAAAAAGTCCCCACTGGATATGAAGAGAAGCGGGCCTCTGGCCTGGGAAAGCCAAGCGATCTCGCCCCAGAGCGGTTCTGGACCAGTGCATTTTAATAGCTGCACTTTTATGGAGGATCACAAAAAAGGGAGCAAGCCTCGCACTGGGGGCTGAGACTTGGGGGTGGGAGGTGTGCATGGAGGGAGGTGGGGGGCCGACTTGGGGTGGGGGAAGTGTGGAGAAGCAAACCCTGCATCCCGTCCCCAACAAACCTCTTTGGGCTTGACCTCTGTGCCCTCCAGGTGAGGAGTCACCTCACCCTGGCCGGGCATTCCGGACATGCTCACGAGAACCCCACACTGGGCATCCGTACTGATGGGAGTGGGGTGGCGAGAGGGACATATGAGTGGTTTTGCATCAAAACCTGTCCTTTCAGGTACTGGCAAACCCAAGCCTCACCTGAGCCATCACCTCCACCCGCTTCCAACCGCTCCAGGCTCCATCCCTCAAGTCCGGAGTGCCCACGCACTTAGCCTTCTGGGGGAACCCGGTGGAGAGGGAGGGAGAGGAGCAGAGACCCAGGAGAAGTGGGGAGGGTCCTCAGAGGGAGGACAGAGATAAAACCTCAGTCAGCCCCCTTCCTTGCCCTCCCCATCAAAGGCTCACTCCCCTCCAAACCTCAGTGCCTCCTGGACCCAGGGAGAGGCCAGACTCTGCCTCTGTCCACCTGAAAGGAGCCTGCACCCGCCCTGGTTAGGTGGGGTGGAAAAACTGGGGGAAAGCCGGTGGGAACGCCTGCCTACCTGAGTTTGACAGCAGAGAATCAGCAGCTGTAAGCACCTGTGCGGGGACAGGAGGTAAGCCCAGGTGTGGGTGCCAGCCACAAGCCTAGGGTGCACCCAGGCCCCCGCCCCCGCCCTGCCAGCCCCGCACACGCACGCGTGGGAGTCCCGGGAAGAGGAGGGCTGCCCTGAGGCTGGAAATGGCAACAAAACTCCAGTGGGAGAGGTAGCACACTTACAGAGTGAGGTTGGGCAGCAGGCGGGCGGCTCCCATCGCTGGAGAGGTTCCTCAGGCGGTTGCCCCCCTGCCCCCAAGCTCAGGAGCAGATGTGGGAAGTCCCCAGGGGTAGAGTCCCAGAGAAGCCAAGGTCTCTCCGAGCCACAGGTTTTCAGGGGGGCGAGGAGAAGAGAAAGGGGAGGAGGAGGAGGAGAAAAAAGAGGGAGGAGGAGGGGGAGGAGGAGGGCGTAATTGGGAGACTGAGGTATGAGGTGTCCACCTTCCTGGCCAGTGAGGCTGCAAAGCAGATGCGGGTGGGGGCGTGCGCGCTGTGCCCTCTGGGCTGCCAGTCTCTCCTGGGCCACCCAGTGCAGAGATGGAGCAGTGGGGGCCTTCTGAAGGAGGTGGCCCTGCTGTCTCCCGCTCTATTCCTGACCCTCACAGACTGGCCAAACTCGACGCAGGCAAACTCGATGTGTGGCAGGCAAGGGAGGGGGAGCCCCTCCTCCCCTCTCCGGGTCTGCGTCTCCTGCCCTCAGGTCTGGTGCCCCACCTCCCCAGTCTCCTGCCCTCAGGTCTGGTGCCCCACCTCCCCAGTCTCCTGCCCTCAGGTCTGGTGCCCCACCTCCCCAGTCTCCTGCCCTCAGGTCTGGTGCCCCACCTCCCCAGTCTCCTGCCCTCAGGTCTGGTGCCCCACCTCCCCAGTCTCCTGCCCTCAGGTCTGGTGCCCCACCTCCCCAGTCTCCTGCCCTCAGGTCTGGTGCCCCACCTCCCCAAGGGTGAGCTGCAGGTGTCAAGCGGGGCTGGGGTCTCTGGTTCTGGCTCAGGAGTGGAAATTCCCAGAAGCAGCCTTAAAAGGAGGAGCCTCCCTCCAGGGGGCAGGGGTGGGCTTGGCTTGGAGCAGCTGATTGCTGGGAAGGAGGGGTTAAGTCTGTCCTGACCAGCAGCAAATACTGGGCGCAACAGATTGGGGGTCAGAGGTGGGTTGGCAGGTATAGATGGAGGTCTAGGAAAATCCCAATGGAGAGGTGCAAAAGCTGGCCTGAGACAGAGACTCAGAGAAGAGCTGGGTGTCCTGGCCTAAGCCCCTTTTCCTTGGGCTTCTGTAGTTCCATCTGAGAAATGAGGACAGGAATGCCTCAGGGTGTTGGGGGTTTAGTGTGAAATCAGCACACAGCAGACTTCAAGAGGTCTGTGTTCCGAGACCCAGCTCCACTCACCATTCTGCATCCCCTTCCTCCCAGTGCCTGTCCCTGGAGCCTCTCTGAGCTAGGAGCAGCTCAGAGTCCCCTCCCTGTGTCCCGTGTTCCTGAGCAGCTGCCTGGGATGAAGTGCCTACCAGCCTCTTCCCCTGACCTCCGGTCCCACATTGCTCGGTACAATGCCAGGGACTAGCCCATTTTGCCGATGAGAAAACTGAGGCACACTGGGAGGTGTTTGCTCAGAATGGCCCAGCTAGTGAATGGAATAGCCAGAATGGAAAAGTCCATCCTTCTTCTGTTCTGCATGGTTTGAGTTGCCACCCTCCAGATCCAGCCCCAAACCTGCTTCATTGTAGGGACACAGAAGCCTTCCTGGGTTTTCAGGATTAAAGGTGGAATCCGAGGTCCTGGAGACTGGTGAACAGAGAGCTCCATGCTGTTCCCTCCCTACAGAAAAGTGGATGACGGTGACTGCAGAAGATAGGAGGGCCTGGGGGTCTGCTTGGGGATCTCTGAGGGAAGACCCACTGTGAGTGAGCAGAGCTCAGGCCCCAGCTCTGGGCTCCCTGGAGTTCTCTGCGCGCCCAGGGTGGGAAGGGAAGGGGAAGTGGCGGATGTGGATTTATTTACCTAAAGAGATGACCAGGGGGGCGAAACTCTCACCTGTGGGTTCCTTCTCACCTTCCTGAGCTCCATCAATCCACAAAGTGGTCTGCCACCCCTGCCCCCATGCACTGACCAGTGCAGGCAGCTCCGGGCTCTCCTCTCCACAGGCTCTTCCTCGGGGACCCAGCCCAGGAGTGGGTGCAGCCTGAGCTTGTGTGGGGAGGGTGGGCGAGCCCTGGCCTTGCTTACCAGGGGGAGTCCGGGGATTTGGAATGAAACTCAAAGAACGTCAAAGCTAGAAGGGGTCTTAGGGATTCATCATTTGTTCCAACTTCCTCATTCCTTGGATGAGAGCCAGAGAGGGCAAGGGACTCGCCCAAAGCCTCACAGCTAGCTGGTGGCATGGCTGGGGCAAGGCACCAGGTGCCCACGTGCCCACCTCTCTGCTTTCCCCCTGTGGATCCTTCGGGTCACTTTCGTTCCGCGTTCTTCCCATCATCTGCAGTCTGGGTTACACTCTGCCTCTTCGGGCAGCTCTGGCTCATTCCCTGAGAAACCTTCAACCTCACATCCACATCCTCACCAGCTCCCAACCCCCAGGCAGGGCATTAAAGAGAGCACAGACACGTGGAGGGGACAGCTCAGGCCTTGGGTTCCAGGGTGGAGGTGTCAGCTGGGGGCAAAAGTTGGGTGAGGGTTCCAATTTATGCTGTCGGGACTTACTGGCCATGGGGACAGTGGGAGCCACTCAAGGCCTCTGAGCCCAAGCACCTGGTTTCTATCCATGGGGACAGGGCCTGCTGTCACTGGCCAGCCCTCAGGCCAGCCTGGGTCTCCATGGTAACAGATGCCAGCAGACAAGCTGGGCCTCAGAGCTTAGCCAGGGGGTTAGCTCTGGGCATGGCTGGATGCCCTGTGTCATAGGCAAGACAGCTGTGGCTCCTTGTCCCTTCCGGTTGGGCACCTGCAAGCCTGGCCTTCTAACTTGGTGTGCTCCTTTACGCCCATGGGGAAGCCAGTGGGGGGCCCTGAGTGGGGAGGCAGCATGGAGCCCTTGATTTTATCACCCCTACCTTGCCCTGGTCCTTATATGCTGTGTGACCTGTGGCAAGTCCCTTCACTTCTCTGATTTCAGGTCCCAGTTTATAAAAAGGAAATGGCTACTACCAGGGATGCTGTCAAAACCACCGCCATCCACATCAGCTGAGATAAAGGACTCGCAGAAACGCAACAAGTGCCACAAGAATGGGGGCAGGGGCCCGTTTTGTGGTTTAGCCTCAGTTGACCTAAACTGTCAGACTTTCTCCTTTGACTGGAGTGAGCTGGGGGTAAGGGGGAGTGAAGAAGGGTGGAGTTTATTAACATTCATTGCTGGGGGGGTGGCGTTCAGGAGGTGATAAGGGAACTGAGAAGTAGCCTGGGCTGCTGTGGTTAATCCCCACCCCCTAGTGCCAAGTTCAACACCCCCCAGCTGGGGTCGTCTCACGCCTGCCTCTCCTAACAGCCCAGCTGGTGCAAACACAGAGCCCACCTGCAGGTCAGCCACTTGCCACCACCTGCTTGAGCCCAGCCCACCCTCTTCCTGCTGAAAAACAGAAGCGTTGGGGCAGGGGAAGGGTGAAGGGCAGAGGGCAAAGGGCGCTCTAGCAAGAAGGATGGAATTTTTGCAATTTTTTTTTTTGAGACCGGAGTTTCATTCTTGTTGTCCAGGCTGGAGTGCAATGGTGTGATCTCAGCTCACCGTAACCTCCGTTTCCCAGGTTCAAGTGATTCTCCTGCCTCAGCCTCCTGAGTAGCTGGGATTACAGGTGCCCACCACCACGCCTGGCTAATTTTGTATTTTTAATAGAGACGGGGGTTTCTCCATGTTGGTCAGGCTGGTCTCGAACTCCCGACCTCAGGTGATCCACCCACCTCGGCCTCCCAAAGTGCTGGGATTACAGGCGTGACCCACAGCACCCGGCCTCCACCTTTGCAGTTTATTTCCTACTGCCTGTTTGCAAATCAAAATCAAGTGATCACTGGTTTATCTGCTTGGGGCCAAATACATGCTTGGCTGTAGAGAGGCCTGGCTGTCCCTTGAGGACTACCATTACATGGTTGACTGACTTCTAACTCCTGCTCTCAGTTTACAAGACTTCGTAAACTGTGCACCGGCTCATGCCTCCCTCCCATCAGCAGAGTGGTCAAAATCCAGGGCTCTGGGGCCGGACTCCCTGGCTCCTCTGCCAGCCGTGTCACCTTGGGGCAACTTGTCTAACCTCTCTGTGCCACACTTTCCTCATCTGAGAAATGGTGCTGGGCCAGGTGTGGTGGCTCACACCTGTAATCCCAGCACTTTGGGCAGCCGAGGTAGAAGGATAGCTTGATGTCAGGAGTTTGAGACCAGCCGGGGCCATATAGTGAGACCCCCGTCTCTACAAAAATGTTAAAAAATGAGCTGGGTGTGGTGGTGCGTCCCTGTATTCCCAGCTACTTGAGGGGGCTGAAGCGGGAGGATATAGGTGGAACCCAGAGTTCTGGGCTGCAGTGAGCCATGATTGCGCCACTGCACTCCAACCTGGGTGACAGAGTATGACCCAGTCTCTAAAAAAAATTAAAAAAAAAAAAAAAAAAGGCCGGGCGCGGTGGCTCAAGCCTGTAATCCCAGCACTTTGGGAGGCCGAGGCGGCGGATCACGAGGTCAGGAGATCGAGACCATCCTGGCTGACACGGTGAAACCCCGTCTCTACTAAAAAATACAAAAAACTAGCCGGGCGAGGTGGCGGGCGCCTGTAGTCCCAGCTACTCCGGAGGCTGAGGCAGGAGAATGGCGTGAACCCAGGAGGCGGAGCTTGCAGTGAGCTGAGATCTGGCCACTGCACTCCAGCCTGGGCGGCAGAGCGAGACTCCGTCTCAAAAAAAAAAAAATAAAAAAAATAAAAGAAATGGAGCCAATCACAATCCCCTTAAGGCACGGTTATGAGGATTAAAGGAGTGGGTCGTGGGTATTAGCAGCTGTCACTGCAGCGATCCCCCTTCAAGTAGGTGTCTGCCTTGGACCTTTTGCATGCTGTGCTCCTGTTCCCAGGGACGTCCTCTGCCAGCTCCTTATGAAGTCCATTGGCCCCTTCTTGTCCATTGCCTCCTCCAGGAGACCTTCTCGCCAAACTGCTTCCCCCTGCCCCCCAAATTCACCTGTTCCACTCCCTTCAAAGCACCGGCCAGTAACTGAAATGACTGTGTTGGGTTTTGTTTCCCTAAACTGTAAGTGACTTGAAGGTGAGGAGCTGGGTTTGTCTACCCCGGGTCACTGTGGATGAAACCAAGTTCGAAAAGCACCAGCTGCCCACATGGAGCAGTCCCCCACGTCACTCTCTGGACGACCTGAAGTTAGTGGTTTGTCCCCTTGTTGGAGGGTGGGACTCTGGGTGACCTGAAGTTAGTGGCTTGTCTGTTTGTTGGAGGGCGGGACAGCACCCACATCCGTCTCATGGGGGTAGGAAACATGCAGGGAGAATGCCACCCTGGGCGGGCGCGGTGGCTCACATCTGTAATCCCAGCACTTTGGGAGGCCGAGGCGGGAGGATCTCTCTTGAGCCCAGGAGTTGGAGACCAGCCTGGGCAACATAACAAGACCCCCTGTCTCTACAAAAAAATTTAAAATTCATTGTGGTGTGGTGGCTCGCACCTGTAGTTCCAAGCTCTTTGGGAGACTGAGGTGGGAGGATTGCTTGAGCCCAGGAAGTTGAGGCTGCCATGAGCTAAGACTGTGCCACTGCCCTCCAGCCTGGGCGACAAAGTGAGACCCTGTCTCTAAAAAAATGAAAAAAAAAAATGAATACCACCCTGCCCTCTACTACCTCTGTCTCTGGTCTCAAGAGAAGCTATAGCTGGACAGGAGGCCCCAGCCTGGCTGTTGACTTTCCCAGGCAGGTGTTCAAAGAGCTCCGACCTCCTGGGCCCCATACCTGGGGATCCTAGGCAGGATGGCAGGACCAGCTCCCCACTGGTTCACTTCAGGCCTGGCCCCCGAGGGTGCTGGGGAGGGGCAGGGAGAAGCCAGCAGAGGCGCTACATGGATAACCCCGAGTGGGAGGCCCATCTGTGTGTTTGCCTGCTCCAGGGACTGCGCCAGCGTCACCCACGTGTGAACAGCCCTCCAGAGTGCCCTCTGCACACCGGGGAGAGGGTGGGGGTCCCCCACCCCATTTTCCAGTCCTCTCTTGACCTCGCCCCTATGTTTGACTGAGGCCGGCTTGATAGCATGTGGGGCTTGGTGCCTCTGTAAAGCTCATCCCGTCTACCCCACCTCAAAGGTTTCCTTGAGGGTGCGGGCCTCTGGCTCCTGCCTGACCCAGATCTGCACACGCGGGAGGTGCCTGTAAGAGCTGGCCCCTAACAGAAGCAAGCAGGAAGAATGGATGTCCCTGAGGTCCCTATAGATGCTCTGCACACAGTAGCTGCCCGACAGGAGTATGGTCGGGAGAAGACCGTGGGCACTGGCCCCCTAGGGCAAGGCCCTTTCTGGTAGCTTGAGCCTCTGTAGCCCTTGGGTGCCTATAAACCTAGCCCTGCCCAGAGGGAGTGTGCGGGCTGCAAATCCACCTGACACTCAGCTCAGCAGAAGGCAGACTCTAGGCTCTTCCCTTGCCACTGGGGGAGAATTGGGGGTGCCGAGGAGGAGGGACACAGCAGGCTCAAGCCGCGGGGGCTGGGTACAGTGAGGCGGGTATGACCTCAGGGCCCGGGTGCACTGGTTCAAGGCTGCCCTCTGCCGGGCACTTGGGCTGGCGCCGCGGACAAGGAGGCCGGCTCCAGGGAAGAGAAGGGAAGTCCTGACTAGGCAACTTTATTGTGACCCCGAGGTGGGGCTCTTCACTGGGGCTCTCCTGAAAGCGGAGAGTTGGGGGTGAGGGGCTCTCATGTTGCCCCTACAACACCGCTGTCACATTCAGACACAGATGGAGGGTCCGGGCAGGGGCACCCTGTGCCCGCAGCACAGTCCAGGGAAGGCCCACTTTGCACTGTGGCCCCCAAAGCGTGGCCCCTCATTTCTTGAATCCTGGCTTCTTGGGTCTGGCTGTGGCTTTGGCCTGTGGAGGGAAGGCAGGGCTCCAGGGTCCCCCATTCCCTTCTCCATACCAGGCAGCCCCCCCAGAAAATACCCGCCTGTCTCAGGGGCCACAGCCCCCGGTCCTACTCACCTTTTTCGCAGGGCTCTTGTCTCTAACGCTGGCTCTGCAACAGGGTGGAGTGGAGCAGGAGTGGGATGGGGGTCAGGGAGAGAGCTCAGCTCCAGACCCGTGGCGGGGCCCTCCCAGTGCCCACCCTGGAAAGCAAGCCTGGCTGCTTCTCCTGGGGACCACTCGGACTCTTTAAACAAAGGGGTGTGCGTGTGTGCATGCACACGCACATGTGTTTTCCTTAGGCTTCTATCTTCATTTGGTTATCACAAATGCCTTTTTGTTTTGTTTTGTTTTTGAGATGGAGTCTGGCTCTGTTGCCCAGGCTACAGTACAGTGACACCATCACAGCTCACTGCAGCCTCCTGGGCTCAAGTGATCCTCCTGCCTCAGCCTCCTGAGTAGCTGGGACTGCAGGTGTGCACCACCACACCTGGCCCACAAATGTCTTTTTCATTATAAAATATTAACCATTTTGTACAAAATATAGCAAATAGACAAGAAAATACATTAGTTAGAGTTTTCTTTACTGTCCACACTAAACATTCTGGTGTATTTTCTTTCAGGGTTATTATTTTTTTTTTGGTCAAACTTTTTTTTTTTTTTGAGATGGAGTCTTGCTGTGTTGCCCAGGCTGGAGTGCAGTGGTGTGATCTTGGCTCACTGCATCCTTCGCATTCCAGGTTTAAGTAATTCTCCTGCCTCAGCCTCCTGAGTAGCTGAGATTACAGGCACATGCCACCACGCCCAGCTAAATTTTGTATTTTCAGTAGAGACAGGGTTTTGCTATGTTGGCAAGACTGGTCTTGAACTCCTGACCTCAAGTGAGTCTCCCACCTTGGCTTCCCAAAGTGCTGGAATTACAGGTGTGAGCCACCATGCCCGGCCTGGTCAAACTCTTAAAAAAAAATGTGTGAAATAAAATAAAAATGACTTTATATCCTGCTCTATGAACTATCAATATTCTTGTCAGGTGCAGAGTTCACACTTGTAATTCCAGTGGTTTGGGAGGCTGAGGCAGGAGGATTGTGTGAGGCCAGGAGTTTGAGATCAGCTTGGGCAACAAAGACCCTGTCTCTACACAAAACTTAAAAGTTAGCCATGCATAGTGGCACGTGCCTATAGTCCTAGCTACTTGGAAAGCTGAGGTGGGAGGATCACTTGAGCCCAGGAAGTGAAGGCTGCAGTGAGCCATGATTGTGCCATCACACTCCAGCTTGGGTGGCAGAGCAAAACCCTGTCTCATTAAACAAATAAACCAAAACCATACACATACTTTCCAGGTTGCTATATTTTTCATAAGCATTATTAATATTCCATTGAGAAAAGAGATGTAGTTTAGTCAATTGTTACATTGGTAGACATTTAGAATGCTTCCATTTTTTCACTATTTGAATAATGCCATGATAAGCATCTTTTTTTAATTTTGTTTTTTGAGACTGAGTCTCGCTGTGTCATCCAGGCTGGAGTGCAGTGGCACAATCTCGGCTCACTGCAACTTTTCCCTGGGCTCAAGCAATTCTCATGCCTCAGCCTCCTGAGTAGTTGGAATTACAGGCACGCCACCAGGCCTGGCTAATTTTTGTATTTTTAGTAAACACAGGGTTTCATCATGTTGACCAAGCTAGTCTCGAGCTCCTGATCTCAAGTGATCCGCCTGCCTTGGCATCCCAAAGTGCTGGGATTACAGGCACGAGCCACTGTGCCCAGCCATGAGAAATATCTTAGTGCAGATAATTTCCCCTGAATTTTGGATGGAATTCTGTGGAAGGAATTGCCTTCAGTGGAATTAGGTCCCAAGATAAGAATGTTATAATGCTTTTCTAGAAAGGTGATGCCACCCTCCAGAACTTCCATACCCGTGTGCCTGCGTGTGCAGGTATATGCACCGTGTGTACATTTGTACGCGCACATGCCAACAGCACAGTATTCTAACACTGTATATCTCAGCTAAGAGACTTCGGCTAATTTAACAGGTAGGAAGAGTTACCTTGTTTCCTCTTGTTCTTTTTCCAGCTTTTTTTTCTGGGAACCAAAAAACAGTTTATTAGGAGAGTTAGGACAAAGTCCAGAGCCAGAACAGATTCCCAAGGTCCACAAGGTTCCCGCTGAGCATCTGGCCAGAACTAGCCAAGGTGGCCTTGGCCCATCCTGCACACTCAGCTTGGGAGGCTGGCCCAGGCTCCCGGTGGCCCATCCCTCTGAGGTGCTTCTGTAGGGGCACCACTTCCTTCCAAACAGCCACACTCCTTCCCCCACCTTAGCCACGCTCGTCTGCTTCTGGGGCACCAGCCTTTTGACTTGTTTGACAGGGCTTTCCTCCTCCAGAGATACATCTGCATCCTCATCCTCATCATCTTCCTCCTCTTCTTCCTCCTCCTCCCCTTCTTCCTCCTCCTCCTCCTCCCAGGTTAGGTCTGATGCTTCTGTGATAGCATGGGAAAGGGGGCAAGGGCACAGCTTCAGAGTTACAGAATCTCGATGCCCACCTCCCATTCTGTGATCCATGTTGCTCCAAGCACTGCCCTGGAGGAATCCTAGTCTGGAGTTAACAGTGGTTACCTGCCTGCCACCTGTACAGGGCGGCACCCTTTCTGGCCCTCTTGACAGTGGGGGCCAGGGTAGGGTAGGGGGTCTAGGAAAGCCCTCCAGAGGGCTGGGGTGGTAGAAAGAGGGCAGGGGAAGTGGCTCTGGCTGGGTAGGAGGGGGATTCATATTGGCAAGGGCTGGGGTCAAGGCTAAAGGTAGGCAGAGTGGGGGAGGAAGAGGAGGGAGAAGGGGAAAGAATCTAAAGCAAATAGCTAATGAACTGAAACTTTATCCTAAGACAAGTGGGACCTGCCAAGGCTTTTTAGCATAATCATAATTATGAATGAGGCATAATCATACAGAAAAGAGGGCCAGTTGAAGGGATCTTGAAGGAGTCAGCATCATGCTGCATTGCTACAGTCCGCGTTGCTGTGGTCTGCATCACTGCAGCAGCCACATCCTGAACAGTGGCTCCCTAGTACGGGGTATTACGCTGAGTACTTTTCCTGAATATCCCATTTATTCTTCACAACTGCCCTTTGAAGTTTACAAGCGAGGGGCCGCAGCCTACAGAGGTCATAGCGGGTAAAGAAGAACAGGGACCAGCGCCCTTGCCTTCCAGTCCAGGCTGCTGGTCGTGATGTTGCCTTTGCGGATTTTCTCCCAAAACTCAAGAATCCCTCCAGGGTTTGAATAGCTAGTATATCTCGAGCCCCTGCCTGGCACGGTACTCTCAGACCTTCCTGAGCCCGGGTTCTGACTTACCATAACGTTCCTGGCCACAGAGGAACACGGGTCCTGAGCCAGCCCGGAGCTGGAAAGTAACTGGGGGAGAAAGCTGCACTCCTACCATGGTGACCTGCAGCGGGAGGAAGCAGAGAAGAGAGGGCCACTTAGGCCTGGCACCTCTCGGGGGCTGGCCTCAGGCAGAAATACTGAGTTGATTTCCCTCCCCAAACCCTACACACTACTCATGGATTGTGTGGACCTTACTGTGTTCTCAGCCCTGTACCCCCCTGCTGAGGTGGGCTCTGTCCAAGAATTTGAACCTGGTAATCCCATTCTTGCTAGGCTCACAGATGGGCCTCCAAGCTGAAAGGCAGCTGTCGATAGGGAAGTCTGATTGCTATGGGCTAAATTACAGCTGTTCCCCCATCCTCCAAATTCCTACGTTGAAGCCCTATTCTCCACTGTGATAGTATTTAGAAATGGGGGCCTTGGGAGGTCATTAGGTTTGGGGTCATGAGGGTGGGACCCTCATGATAGAACTAGTACCTTTACAGTAAGAGACACTGGAGAACTCACTCACTCTCTTTCTCTCCACTCTCCTGCCCCACATGTGAACACATAGCAAGAAGGCTGCCATCTGCAACCCAGGGAGAGGACCCTTACCAGAACCCAACCATGCCGGCCCCCTGATCTCAGACCTCAAGCCTCCAGAACTGTGAGAAAACGTCTGTTGCTAAAGCCCTCCAGTCTGTGGTATTTTGTTATAGCAACTTGGGCAGACTGAGACACTCATCAAATGAGAAAGCAGATTCACGATTTTATGTACAGTACTACTTTCTTTTTTCACATCAGACAGGTAATGTGCCAACTCGTAACCAGGTTTGTGGGAGGCACATCTTATGCACAAGTGTGAAACCCCAATCATCACACTTTTAAATGACAAGAGCCTCTATGGTACTTTTGTCTTATGCATAATGTATGGATATACATAATAAAGGTTTTGGCTGGGCGAAGTGGCTCACACCTGTAATCTCAGCACTTTGGGAGACCGAGGTGGGTGGATCACGAGGTCAGGAGACTGAGACCATCCTGGCTAACACGGTGAAACCCTGTCTCTACTAAAAATACAAAAAATTAGCCAGACGTGGTGGTGGGCACCTGTAGTCCCACCTACTTGGAAGGCTGAGGCAGGAGAATGGCATGAACCCGGGAGGTGGAGCTTGCGGTGAGCTGAGATCGCGCCACCGCACTCCAGCCTGGGCGACAGAGCGAGACTCTGTCTCCAAAAAAAAAAAAAAAAGAAAAGAAAAAAGAAATGAAGAGAGGCGGGTGCAGGAGCTGGTGTGCAGCAACTGAAGGGAAATGGGCCTGAAAATAGCCAGGACTTTTCACTTCAGAGCTCACACACAGGCCGGGCACGGTGGCTCATGCCCGTAATCCCAGCACTTTGGGAGGCTGAGGCAGGCGGATAACTTGAGATTAGAAGTTTGAGACCAGCCTGGCCAATATGGTGAAACCCTGTTTCTACTAAAAATACAAAAATTAGCCAGGTATGGTGGTGCACACCTGTAATCCCAGCTACTCAGGGGGCTGAGGCAGGAGAACTACTTGAACCCAGGAAGCAGAGGTTGCAGTGAGCCGAGATTGTGCCACTGCATGCCAGCCTGGGCGACAGAACGAGACTCTGTCTTTAAAAAATACAACAAAGCAACACAAAAAACCTCACAGACAGGAGACAAGGCCTCGGGCTCAGGCGAGAAGGAGAGTTGCAGCTGAGACCACCATGGGGAGGCTAGGACCCGCAAGGGCTGTACCCTTAGTAAAAGGCCCAAGGTAAGTGTTGAGGATTGCAGACTAAAAAGCCCAAACCAGCCCTCTTCCCCTCGAAAATGAAAAAGAAAAATCAAAACCCTAGCCACCATAAAAGGAAGCTAACAAGGAAGCATGAATGGAAATAAAAGAAGCCTCCAGTGAGAGCCCACGACCCACAGCTGCGCCTCTCACTTACGGGGTCTGAATTTACTCAGTGAGTACTGCCAAGCCAAGAAATGTATAGAAAATCCCAAGCTTATGATATTCCTGAGGTAAATGGCAGAAGCAAACACGAAACCACTCTGTTGGGACACTCTCCAAACTCAGGCCACATCGAATTCTTTTGGAAAACAACAAAATAAACTAAAGATGAGCTCACCGTATAAAATTACAAAACATACAAGAAACAATCCAGCTAGAGTCAACAGAAAGAAATCAAGTGACTGCAGACTAGCCCAACCAAGACCTTAGAACCCCGATCTAAAAAAATATCAGATAAAGCTGGGTGTGGTGGTGCATGCCTGTAGCCCAGGCTACTCGGGAGGCTGAGGCAGGAAGATGGCTTGAACTCAGAAGTTCAAGACTGCAGTGAGCTATGATTGCACCACTGCACTCCAGACCGGGAGACAGAGCAAGATCTTGTCTCTAAAACATGTATATACACAAATATGTATGTGTGTGTGTGTATATATATATATATATATATATAAGTTTAAAACCAAGTAAATGTAAAAGTAGGAATCATTATCATAAGAACAAGACATTATGAACAAGAAAAAGAACCAAATGCAGCTTTCTAGATATAAAAAACCGGAAGCTGAGGATGGGCGTGGTGACTCATGCCTATAATCCCAGCGCTTTGAGAGGCCAAGGTGGGAGGATCGCTTGAGGTCAGAATTTAGAAACCAGTCTGGATAACATAGTGAGACTCCAGCTCTACAAAAAAAATAATCATAGCCGGGCATGATGGCTTGTGCCTGTAGTCCCAGCTACTCAGGAGGCTGAAGGGGAGGATCACTTGAGCCCAGGAGTTTGAGGCTGCAGTGAGCCATGATCAGGCCATTGCACTCCAACCTGGGCAACAGAGCAAGACCTTGTCTTTTTTAAAACAAAAACAAAAGAAAACCTCAACAAATGATTAAAAAGAAGAATAAAGCAGCAGAAGCAGAATTAGTATGATCAACAATACTGTGAAGGAATTACCAAATATAAGGCACAGAGGGAGAGATTTAAAGAAACATGAAAGAAAAGCTAACACGGGGGACAGAGTGAGAAGGCCCAACATATATCTAATTGGAAAAGGAACTCGAGAGACTGGAAGACAGTCAATATTCAAAGGGAAAACAACCAAGAATTTTCCAGAATTGATCAAAGACATAGATCCTCATACCTGAAAACCTAAGTCCTGAACAGATAAATAAAAATAAATCTACACCTTAACATATCATGGTAAAACTGTAGAAAATAAAAACGACCGGGTGCAGTGGCTCAAGCCTGGAATCCCAGCACTTTGGGAGGCTGAGACGGGCGGATCACGAGGTCAGGAGATCAAGACCATCCTGGCTAACACGGTGAAACCCCGTCTCTACTAAAAAATACAAAAAACTAGCCGGGCGAGGTGGCGGGCGCCTGTAGTCCCAGCTATTCGGGAGGCTGAGGCAGGAGAATGGCGTGAACCCGGGAGGCGGAGCTTGCAGTGAGCTGAGATCCGGCCACTGCACTCCAGCCTGGGCGACAGAGCAAGACTCCATCTCAAAAAAAAATAAATAAATAAAAAGAAAATAAAAACAAAAGACATTGCCTTAAAATAAACCAGAAAGGAAAGACATCTCCAAAAAGGAAATAATCAGACAGATTGAGGATTTCAACAGCAACATTGGGAACCAGAATAGAACAGCTTCAAAGCTGAAGGAAACTCTCGACCTAGAATTATATACACAGTCAAACCATCGTGAAGGAATGAGGGCATAATCATGATATTTCCAGACAAAGCCTGAGTAAGTTTACTATTCTCAGGCTCACTAAAGTGTGTTTCTAAAAAAGATAAATTAAATCAAGAAGGAAGAAGTGGGTGCAAGAAGCAGTGGTAACCAAACTCACTGGTAAACAAAGTAAACCTACCTAAGAATTAACTGGAAAATACAATAGTACTAGTAATGAGTAGTGTTGAGCAAGTTGACAAGTTGGAGCTAGAACACTAGATAATAATATTGAAGTTAAAAAGATGAGAATCACCGGCTGGGCGCGGTGGCTCAAGCCTGTAATCCCAGCACTTTGGGAGGCCGAGACGGGTGGATCACGAGGTCAGGAGATGGAGACCATCCTGGCTAACACGGTGAAACCCCGTCTCTACTAAAAAATACAAAAAACTAGCTGGGCGAGGTGGCGGGTGCCTGTAGTCCCAGCTACTCGGGAGGCTGAGGCAGGAGAATGGCGTAAACCCGGGAGGCGGAGCTTGCAGTGAGCTGAGATCCAGCCACTGCACTCCAGCCTGGGCGACAGAGCAAGACTCCATCTCAAAAAATAAATAAATAAATAAATTAATTAATAAAAAGACGAGAATCAGGCCAGGTGCGGTGGTTCACACCTATAATCCCAGAACTTTGGGAGGCCAAGGCAGGCAGATCACCTGAGGTCAGGAGTTCAAGACCAGCCTGGCCAACATGGTGAAACCCTGTCTGTACTAAAAACACAAAAATTAGCTGGGCATCATGGTGCATACCTGTAATCCCAGCTACTCGGGAGGCTGAGGCAGGAGAATCACCTGAACCTCGGAGGTGGAGGTTGCAGTGAGCCAAGATTGTACCACTGCAATCTAGTCTGGGCAAGAGAGTGAGACTCCATTTCGAAAATAAAAAAATAAAAAGAGGAGAATCAGAAAACCTCCTTGGATTGTCTGGGAGGAAATAAAACATTAACTTTAAACTTTGAGTCATGCATGATTGTTAAAAAAAAATTAAAGATAACCAGTAAAAAATTAGAATGAGATTCTATAACTTCCAAACCAGTGAAAAGGGGAAAAGAAACTTTAATTAATCTAATAAATTATAGGAAAAGGAGAAGAAAATAAAAAAGCAAAGAAAGTAGGGGTACAAAGTACATGCCACAAATCCAATTCCATCAGCAATTGCAATGAATACAGACTATACTGGCCAGCTAGAACAAAATCTAGCTACATACTGTGTAAAAGATACATACCTGGTACATAAGACATAAAACACATCTGAAACAGAGAGGTAGCTGAGGCCAGAACACAAAGGCTCCGAAGCAGGCCGTAATACACTCTGGGCTCTTATTCTAAGTGAGAGAGAGCCATGACTTAAGTGTTCTAGTGGAGAAGCCACATGATCTGACCTGTGTTTAAAAGGATCTTTTTGGCCAGGCACAGTGGCTCACGCCTGTAATCCCAGCACTTTGGGAGGCCAAGGCAAGTGGATGACTTGAGGTCAGAAGTTCAAGACCAGCCTGGCCAACATGGTGAAACCCCATCTTTACTAAAAATACAAAACAACCACCACCACCACCACCACCACCACCACCACCACCACCTCAGCTGGGTGTGGTGGGGAGCTCCTGTTGTCCCAGCTACTAGGGAGGTGGAGGTTGCAGTGAGCCGAGATTGCGCCACTGCACTCCAGCCTGGGTGTCAGAGCGAGACTCTGTCTCAAAAAAAAAAAAAAAAAAAAAAAAAAAAGATCTTTTTGGCAACTATGTGGAGCACAGACCAGGAAACTTTCTGTAAAGAGCCAGAAGGTAATATTTTAGGCTTGCAAACCATATGGTCTCCATGGAGACTACTCAAATCTGCTGTTATGGAGGAAAAGCAGCCATGGACAGGGTACAAATGAATGAGTGTGGCTGTGTTCCCAGTAAAACTACTTACAAAAACAGGCAGCGGGCTAGATTCAAGCTCTCTAGTTTGCCTACCCTGGAATAGACTACAGGGGACCATGTGATGGTAGGAAGGCCCAGCAATTAGAATGGAGCCACAGACAACTGTCACCTATACCGGAGTAGCAGGGAAGATGATGAGATGTGGTCCATCGGGGTATAAGATGGAGGCAGAGATGACAGGACTGCTGGTAGATCAGATATGGGCATGGGAAAAAAGACGGGTTGGCTGGGTGTGGTGGCTCATGCCTGTAATCCCAGCACTTTGGGAGGCCAAGGTAGGTACATCACCTGAGGTCAGGAGTTTGAGACCAGCCTGACCAACATGGCAAAACCCCATCTCTACTAAAAAGAAAAAAATTAGCCGGACGTAGTGGAACATGCCTGTAATCCCAGCTACTTGGGAGGCTAAGACGGGAGAATTGCTTGAACCTGGGAGGCGGGGGTTGCAGTGAGCTGAGATCGCACCATTGTGCTCCAGCCTGGGTGACAGAGTGAGACTCCATCTCAAAAAAAAAAAAAAAAAAAAGGAAAGGAAAAACTGCCATTATTCAATTATTATATGCATAGAAAACTTGAGACGAATTATTAGAAACTACAGCATTTCTGGATACACAACCAATATGTAGATCGACCATGTTCCTGTGACTAGCAGTGAAAGGTTTAAAGCAGCAGCCTCCAACCTTTTTAGCACCAGGGAACGGTTTCCTCGAAGACAATTTTTGCATGGATGGGGTGGGAGTAGGGGGTGGTTTTGGGATGAAACTGCTCCACCTCAGATCAGGCAATCGATTCTTATAAGAAGCATGCAACCTAGACCCCTTGCACGCACAGCTTACAATAGGGTTCATGCTCCTCTGAGAATCTAATGCCACTCTGATCTGATGGGAGGCGGGGCTCAGGGGTAATGCTGGCTAGCTGGCTGCTCACCTCCTGCTGTGCCGCGGGTTCCTAACAGGCCACAGACGGATTCTGGTCCTTGGCCCGGTGGTTGGGGACCCCTGATGTAAAGTGTAATTTTTGCAGACAGCTTAACTTGCCTAAGGTCACACAGCTCTAGGAAGGGGTGAGCTGGGCTGGACCCCAGCTTTCTGCATGGGCTGTGCTACCTCCCTGGCATGGCTCACTTCTGTAGGGTGAATGCACCCTCGTGTGTGTCCATCCCCACCCAAGAGTGAGGGTGAGGGTGAGGCTGGGGCTGGCAGCAGTTTTCCTGCCAGCAGGGAAAGGCCCACCATGGGGAGGACTGAGGCCTGGAGCGAGGCAATGGTGACCGGCTGCATCTTCTTGTCCTCCTGGTTTGCTGGGGGCAGGATCTCCACGCGATGCATCTCTTCTTTGGCTTTCTCTCCCAAGCAAATCTGCGCGGGTTTGAAAATAGACAGAGGCCCCTCATCACCCTGAGGGCAGACGGGAGAAACCCATAGTCCTCTGTTGGGACCAGAAAGTCTCCGGACTCCATCCTCCTCCCCTCTTTTGGGAACACCGACCGTATGAAGCAACAGCCTGCAGTTCTGCTTCCCCTCCAGCTGGGGTCTGAAGGTCCAAGTCCGCCTCTCCTGACTGAGTTCGCAGCCTGCGGAGGAGAAAGGGAGGGAAGTGGGGCCCTCTATTCGTTCCCGAGGGAGGGGCTCACCTGGGCCCCAAGCTGCCGCGCACCGGAGGTGGGGCGTGGCTCTGGGAAGTAGCCTGAGTTCCCACTCACCCCAGAGCACGGTCGTCACTGCCTTTTCCTCCGTGCTGCTGGCGCTACTGAGATTCATGGCTCCGGGCGGAGAAGCAGGGTGGCCGGGCAGCTGCAAGGAGGGCGCCCGCGTGAGGCCTTGCTCCCTGACCCTGACCCTCGACTGGAGGATGCCAGAGGCCGGCAGGCATCGGCAGATACTGAGGCGTCGCTCGCGGCTGGAGAGCGCCCGCCACGGTCAAGGGCTCACCGCCAACTCCTGGAGGACGAGTACCCACCTCCCAGCGGGGCGCGCAGCCCGGGGCTCGGCCGGGCGCGGAGAGGACCGCCGGACTCACGCGAGAGGGAGCTGTCCACCGAGCCCAGGCTTGAAAGCCCGCGGGGAGGTCACCTGGCTGCGCTTGGGCCTAACTCAAAAGCCTCTGTGCACCTCCACCAGGCGCAGAGAAAGGGGTGTGCGCGCGGCTTAGGTCCCAGCTCCCCCCACTCAGCCTTACTGTCGCTGCTTCGCGCGGGGCCAGTCACGCCATTGGCGCTCCCGGAGCGCAGCGCAACCTCATCCCCGCTGGCCGGAGGGCTGCTGCCCAAGGCCGGGCTAAGAAGCCTTGGAAGGGGAAGGGCAGGTGTCCAATCAGCCGCAAAGAAGCCGCCTGCCTCTCCCCTTCCCTTCTCCCATTGTTTCCTCCTCTGCGCGGTAGAATCACCTGGAGGGCTGTTAATGTGCGCATCGCTGCGCCCCACTCCACAGCTGCCCTTGGCGTGGGTCTGGGTGGGGCCGAGGGAATTTGCTTTTCTAACCGGTTCCCAGGTGAAACTGATGATGCCGGCCCAGGACCCTTCGTGAGAACGGCTGTCCGAGCCAAAGAGGACCCGCCGAGGCCTACTGGCGACCCCTCCCCAGCCCATGGAGAGGAAACCTTAGCCCAACTTAGGAAGGGAGGCCTGCAGCTGGCAGGAAGCGGCAGTTAGAAGCGCTCCTTGTTCGTTGCCTTTTTTCCTTTCCTTTCCCTATGCCTTATACAGCATGGGCCTTTCCTAAGGCCCAGACAGCCCGTCCTTCCAGTCTCCAATGAGAGAGAGCGAGCCCTATCTCCAGAACGGTGAGATCTCCCGCGGAGAGCCACAGCCCGCAGGTGGGGTGGGGAGGGGAGCAGGGAGGCTCCGCGGCAGGGGGCGGGGAGCACACTGGGGAGCACGGCTAGCGACGCTACAGGGCCAAGCACGTGACCAGCAGCGGGTCCCAGGCTCAGTAGGCAGTGAAGAGAAGGGGGGGTTTCAGCGGATATACCCTGGAGACACCTCAGATAACCAGGGATCTCCCGCACACCTCTGGGGCAGGGGCTCATTGCTACGGAGAGGTCAGAATCTTTTATTCCTGGGAGCTGGGGTCAACCTCCCTGTGAATTGGCCAGGACAACCCAGGAGAGGCTTGGGGGCCTGCCAGGGCCCCCTAGGCTCCCTGTCCTCAGCTGAGCAGTTCCAGTCTCCTTGACTGTCCCTGAGATCTCTGTCCTTGGCAGGGGGCCTAGTGGAGGTGACAGCCATTGCAGCCAAGTGTGTGGTAAAGATGAGCAAATTGCAGGCACATGCATGCCATGCACAGACGTTCAAGTATTCACTCAACAAACGGTGATTCCGCCAGCTGGGCGGGGTCTGTGCATCCCGCAGTGAATACGAAACAGCCCCTCAAAGGGCTTCCAGCCTCACTGGAGAGTAGGGCTCAAAGCAAACCGGTCTTCAGTGGCCCCAGGCCACCCTCCCCGTGAATAATCACACTGATGTGAGGCTGCTGCTGGGGTTCACAGTGAAGGCTAAATGGAGGCAGGGGAGGGGGATGACCCTGAGGTCATGACCTAGAGCTGGGAGACTGGAACTGGACAGTCTGGGTTCAAGTCTGGACTCTGTGATTTCAGGTGTGTTAATTCATGTCTCAGTGCCTCAGTTAAATGAGCTAAATGAGGCTATAATACTGGTACCATCCTCATTAACTTTTTTTTAACTGATACATAGTAATTGTATATATTTACGGGGTACATATGATATTTTGATACTTGCACACAATGCGTAATGAGCAAATCAGTGTAACTGGGGTATCCATCACCTTCAACATTATTTCTTTTTTTTTTTGGAGACAGAGTTTCACTCTCATCACCAAGGCTGGAGTGCAGTGGTGTGATCTCAGCTCACTGCAACCTCTGCCTCCCGGGTTCAGGCGATTCTCCTGCCTCAGCCTCCCGAGTAGCTGGGTTTACAGGTGCCCACAACCATGCCCAGCTAATTTTCATATTTTTAATAGAGATGGGGTTTCACCATGTTGGCCAGGTTGGTCTTGAACTCCTGACCTCAGTGATCCTCCTGCCTCGGACTCCCAAAGTGCTGGGATTACAGGCGTGAGCCACTGGGCCTGGCTAAATGTTTATCATTTCTTTGTGTTGGAAACATTTCAAGTCTTCTCTTCTAGCTATTTTGAAATATACAGTAAATTATTGTTAACTATAGTCACCGTACTGTACTATCAACTTATTTATTATTATTTCTTATTTCAACTTATTTCTATCAAATAGTATGTTTGTACCCATTGATCTCTCTCCATCCCTCCACCCCTTCCCAGCCTCTAGTATTCCATCATTCTACTCTCTAATTTCAATTTTTTTTTTTTTTTAGCTCCCACATGAATGAGAGCATGTGAAATTTGTCTTTTTGTGTCTGGCTTGCTTCACGTAACATAATGACCTCCAGTTCCACCTATATTGCTGCAAATAAGAGGGCTTCCATATTTTTTTATGGCTGGATATATTCCATTGTGTAGAGGTACCACATTTTCTTTTTCCATTCATCTGTTGATGGACACTTAGGTTGATCCCATATCTTGGCTCTTGGAATAGTGCTGCAATAAACAAGGGCGTGCAGATATCCCTCCTTTCCTTTGGATACTGATTTGCATTATGGAAAGCAGTATGGGGACTTCACAAAAAACTAAAAATAGGACTACCATATGATCCAGCAATCCCACTACTGGGTTATTTATCCAAAGGAAAGGAAATCAGATACTGATTTCCTAGGAATCAGTATTTCTAGGGTTATTTATCCCAGTAATGGAACTGTTGAATCATGTGGTAGTTCTATTTTTAGTTTTTTGAGAAATCTCCGTACTGCTTTCCATAATGGCTGTACTAACTTACATTCCCACCAACAGTGTATAAGAGTTCCCTTTTCTGCACATCCTCGCCAGCATTTGTCTTTTTGATAACAGCCATTCTAACTGAGGTGAGATGATATCTCATTGTGGTTTTAATTTGCATTTCCCTAATGATTAGTGATGTCGAGCTTTTCTTTTCTTTCTTTTTTTTTTTTTTTTTTTTGAGACAGAGTCCTGCTCTGTCGCCTGGCTGGAGTGCAGTGGTATGATCTTGGCTCTCTGCAACCTCTGCCTCCTGGGTTCAAGCAATTCTCCTGCCTCAGCCTCCCGAGTAGCTGGGACTACAGGTGCGTGCCACCATGCCCAGCTAATTTTTGTATTTTTAGTAGAGACAGGGTTTCACCATGTTGGCCAGGATGGCCTCATTCTCTTGACCTTGTGATCCTCCTTCCTTGGCCTCCCAAAGTGTTGGGACTACAGGTGTGAGCCACTGCGCCCAGCTGAGCATTTTTTCATATGCCTATTGGCCATTTGTTTGTTTTCTTTTGAGAAATGTCTATTCATGTCCTTTGCCCACTTAATATTACTATTTGTTTTTTGCGGTTGAGTCATTTGTGTTCCTTGTATATTCTGGATATTAGTCCCTTGTTAGATGAATAATTTGCAAATATTTTCTCCTATTCTGCAGGTTGTCTCTTCACTCTGTTGACTGTTTCTTTGCAGTGCAGACGTTTTTGGTTTCATATAGTCTTATTTGTCTATTTTTGTTTTTGTTGCCTGTGCTTTTGCAGTCTTAAGCCATAAAATCTTTGCCTAGACCCATGTCCTGAAGCATTTCCCCTAGGTTTTCTCCTAGTAGTAGTATAGTTTCAGGCCTTATGTTTAAGTCTTTAATCCATTTTGAATTGATTTTTGTATGTGATGACAGATGGAGTCTACTTTTCTTCTTATTATCAATATCCAGTTTTCCCAGCACCATTTATTAAAGAAGATGTCCTTTCCCCAATGTAAGTTCTTGGTGCCTTTGTCAAAAAATCAGTTTGTGATAAGTACAGAGATTGATTTCTGGGTTCTCCATTTTTTTCCGTTGGTCTGTGTCTGTTTTTATACCAATACCATGCTGCTTGGTTACTATAGCTTTGTAGTGTATAATATTTATATTTATATTTGAGACAGGGTCTTGCTCTATCTCCCAGGAGTGCAGGAGCAATTTCAGCTCACTGCAGCCTCCACCTCCTAGACTCAAGTGATCCTCCCACCTCAGCCTCTGGAGTAGCTGGGACTATAGGTGTGTGCCACAATGCCTGGCTACTATTTTTTTTTTTGGTAGAGATGGGGTTTCTCCATGTTGTCCAGGCTGGTCTCAAACTCCTCTGCTTAAGTGATCCACACACGTTGGCCTCCAAAAGTGTTGGGATTACAGGCATGAGCTTGCCCACCCTGTAGTATGTTTCGAAGTCAGGTAGGATCATGCCTCTACCTCTATTCTTTTTGCTCAGTATTGCTTTGGCTATTTGGAGTCTTTTGTGGTTCTATACAAATTTTAGGATTGTCTTTTCTGTTTTTGTGAAGAATGTCATGGTATTTTCACAGGGATTGCACTGAATCTGTAGATTGCTTTGGGTAGTATAGCCTTTTAAATTTAATTTTATTTCTTATTTTTAAATTTTATTTATTTTCTATTTTTGAGGCAGAGTCTCGCTCTGTTGCCCAGGCCGGAGTGCAGGGGTATGGTCATAGCTCACTGTAACCTTGAACTCCTGGGCTCAAGCAATCCTCCTGCCTCAGCCTCCTGAGTAGCTTGGACTATAAGGTGTATACCACCACGCCTGTCTAATTTGTAAAATTTTTTTGTTGTGTCTCACTATGTTGCTCAGGCTTGTCTTGAACTCCTAGGCTCAAGTGATCCTCCCTCCTAGGCCTCCCAAAGCACTGGGATTATAGGCATGAATCATTGTGCCTAGCCCTAGTATGGCCATTTTAACCATATTAATTTTTCCAGTTCATGAGCATGGGATGTCTTTCCATTTTGTTGTGTCCTTTCCAATTTCCTTCATCAGTGTTTTGTAGTTTTTGTTATAGAGGTCCTTCACTTCCTTAGTTAACTTTTATTCCTTGGGACTTTATTTTTTGTAGCTCTTGTAAATGGGATCACTTTCTTGATTTCTTTTCTATTTTATTATTGGTGTATAGAAACACTGCTGATTTTCATATGTTGATTTTGGTGTCTTGCAACTTCACTGAATTTGTCTATCAGTTCTAGGAGTTTTTTAGTGGATTGTTTAGGCTTTTCTATACATAAGATCATGTCTGCAAAGAGAGACAATTTGACTTCTTTTCCAATTTCTTTTTATTGTTTTATTTAATTAATTAATTTTATTTTTTGAGACGGAGTCTCACTCTGTTGCCCAGGCTGGAGTGCAGTGACGCGATCAATGCTCACTGCAAGCTCCACCTCTGGGGTTCACGCCATTCTCCTGCCTCAGCCTCTCGAGTAGCTGGGACTACAGGTGCCCCCCACTGCTCCCAGCCAATTTTTTTGTACTTTTAGCAGAGACGGGGTTTCACCGTGTTAGCCAGGATCGTCTTGATCTCCTGACCTCGTGATCCACCTGCCTTGGCCTCCCAAAGTGCTGGGATTACGGGTGTGAGCCACTGTGCCCCGCCTATTGTTTTATTTTATTTTGAGACAGAGTCTTGCTCTGATGGCCAGGCTGGAGTGCAGGGGTGTGATCTTGGCTCGCTGCAATCTTTGCCTTCTGAGCTCAAGTGAATCTCCTTCGTCAGCCTCCTAAATAGCTGGGAATACAGGTGCCCGCCACCATGCCTGGCTAATATTTGTATTTTTAATAGAGATGGGGTTTCACCATGTTGGCCAGGCCGGTCTTTAACTCCTGACTTTAAGTGATTGGCCACCTTGGGCTCCCAAAGTGCTGGGATTACAAGCGTGAGCTATTGCGTCCGGCCCCTTCTTTTCCAATTTAGAAGCCTTTTATTTCTCTCTTACCTGGTTGTTCTGGTTAGTACTTATAGAACTGTGTCGAATACGACTGGTGAAGGC